AGAAAGAGAGACACACACACACACACACACACATATATATATATATATATATATATATATATCACAGCCATGATTTCATGATTTAATTACATTTTTTAAAAATGTAATTTATTCCTGTGATGCAAAGTTGAATTTTCAGCAGCCATTACTCCAATCTTCAATGTCACACGATCTTTCAGAAATCATTCTAATATTTGGTGCTCAAGAAACATATTTAATTATTACTATTATTATAACAGTTGTTCTGCTGATTTTTTTGTGGAATTTATGATACTTTTCAGAATTCTTTGATGAATAAAGAACAGCATTTATTTGAAAATTATTTTTGTAACAATGTCTTTGCTGTCACTTTTGATCAGTTCAGTGCTGAATAAAAGTTTTTTTTTTTTTCAAGAAAAATAACCCAAATGTTTCAATGGTATCTGCAAATACATCTGAAACTGCATCATCATCAGTAAATATCAGATTAATGTCTACCTGTTTCTCTCCCATTTCAGTATCATATTTCTGGATCCAGTTCTCAATCTCTGTTTCCTCCTTGTATTTTTTCTGTAAATCAAAACCAGCAACATTTACAACAAACTATACTCATGCTCACTTTTTAACTGAATGACCCTTGAATGAGCATAAATACACCTTTCGTAGTGCCAGTTCTCTCTCTCGGTCCGCTGCAGTCACATTATTGAGCTGAGCTCTCAGTTGACTGGTTTCCTGCTGCAAACGAGTTCTCTTCCCCTCTGAAGTTTTCGTATCTGACTGGCTCTGTTTCTCAGCGTCCTGTTGAGTTCAGACGATGAAGTCCTCCAAACCCTTTTCCATCTGATGCAGTGAGCTCCTCAGCTGGTTCACTTTATTAGTTAATGTGGAAATCTGAATAGGAGCGAGAGCCAGACAAAGAAAGAATGAAAGCAAAAGGGGGTAAATAGAGAGAGAATGAGACCAAGTAGTTTGGAGAACTCATTCATCTGTCATCCAACTAATCTGTCAACTTTATAACAAATTTGATTCCTTGTCATACTTCTGACCTCTGTATCCTTGTCTTTTATTGCCATGGCAACCTCTTTTTCCAGTGAGTCTTGGTTGGCAGAGTGACGTAGACTGACTTCCAGCATCATCTCTCTGCGTTCTCTCTCCTCTGCAGGTGTAGTGAGAAGCCTCTCCAAAACAATCTCTCTCAACTCACACAGGCCATCTCTCAGTTTCTGCGACTCCATCTCTCCTCCTGTGTTAGGTTCTATGCCTTTTAGCACTTCCCTTGAGGTCAGAGTTTCCCTAAGTAGCCGCATAATGTTACGAAAGGAGTCCTGAACTGCTTCTGTTGATTTGGCTAATTGTTCCTTTAGTTCATTTTGATCAAGACTCCCATCAAGCACCATAGCTTGGTACTTTTCCCCAAGCTTCTGGTGCTCTTTCAGGGCATTGGCCACTGCCTCTCCAAGACTTGGGGAAAGTTCTTCTGGAGAGTTCAGCAAAGTGGGTAGAAGAGAGACTATCTCCATCTGCTGATTGCACTCATCTAGTACCCCAAATATGAGCTTTGCTTCCAGAGATGATAGAGTCTTCCTGGATGGGTTAATGGTCTTTAAAGGGTTAGTTCACCCAAAAATGAAAATTCTGTCATTAATTACTCACCCTCATGTCGTTTCAAACCCATAAGACCTTCGTTCATCTTCGGAACACAAATTAAGATATTTTTGATGGAATCTGAGAGCTGTCTGACCCTGCATAGACAGCAACGCAACTGAAATGTTCCCAAGTCCAGAAATGTAGCAAGGAGATCTGTAAAATAATCCATGTGACATCAGGGGTTCAACCAGCTGCGCCACGCGGATATGCTGTTTCCGTTCAGATCAAATCACAACAACGTAGGGAACAGATCCGGCGTGATGCAGCTGACACAGAACAGCATACGCTGTTTACGTCCAGCGGATATGCTCCAAAATGGCACCAGGGTGATGCGGAGGATATGAATTGTTGAATAAAGTCTGTTTTTTTCTTTTGTGCACAAAAAGTTTTCTCGTAGCTTCATATAATTGCGGATGAACCACTGATGTCACATGGATTATTTTACAGATCTCCTTGCTATGTTTCTGGACTTGGGAACATTTCAGTTGCATTGCTGTCTATGCAGGGTCAGACAGCTCTCAGATTCCATCAAAAATATCTTAATTTGTGTTCGGAAGATGAACGAAGGTCTTACGGGTTTGAAACGACATGAGGGTGAGTAATTAATGACAGAATTTTCATTTTTGGGTTAACTAACCCTTTAAGTAGTCTTCTTTAGTTTTGTTTGGAAGGTTGGTTGCATCTGATAATCTGTCTTCAGGAGGGAGAGCATCTGATTTTGAGCCCATCATTAGAGGTTTTTTTGATTGTGTGAGAGAAAACTGTCCAGACATCAAATAATTTTTAAAACATTTAATGTTTTTTTTTACGAGACGAAGATTGCTTTGAATGAGATGAGTCACGTGTTGCAATTAAAAAAAAAAAAACCTAACTACACAAATGTTCTAATTTTAATAACAATTTCTAATTTTAAAAATCATATCGGACATTCCTGCTTATTGTTGACAAAGAAACACTTTGCACTTGTGTCTAAATAGCTCAACAACAGTAACGGACAATAATCACAATTTTGCTCTCCCTGGACATGTTGTAGCCTACATTACCGTGTAATTCTTGTTTGTAGAAATCTGTATGCGCTTACAGTCAAACACAAACCCTGATGTTATGTATACCTGTTGCTGTGACAACCGTTGGCATTCTGATCCGAGTGACTTCCCGCTCTAGCAACAAACAAAATAAGTAATCTCACTCGTGATTTACTTATAGATGTATATAGATACATTTTCCCTGCATATACTTCATAAACCTCATATTATCAATTAATGTATTAGTATATTTGGCATGAGACACGTTTTCACACTATGGCTTTTATTGTGACACTTCAGCTGTTTTATCTCTGCGGCCAAAAACGACACTGTCGTAAAAAGAGGTAACGTCAAACCCTCCTGCTTGACGGCGGTGGTTCTTTTATTTATAATGTTCGAAACTCGACAATATACTTTGCCCTTGCGTTGGTATTTTTAATAAGAGGCGAAGATAATGACGTAAACAGACAGGCTCTGATACGGTTTTAATTATGATTCGTTTAACTTGCACAGTTTAAGTTGATTTAAAACACATTTTAGTATAAAACTCGCTCGGTTTGGTGTCCGGGGACAACAAAGCGGTTTCTGTAACTGTCCTGTGTTAAAGTTTTTCTGCAGCACCGAAAGGTCAGTTTATTGAACATACAGACTCTGTGTCCCCGAAAACTGCGGTCCTCTCATCGTGTCTTTGGTTCAGCGGGATGGCGGACGGGGACGACGACGTGCCGCTGATTCTGACCTGGGACGATACGAGCAGCGGGCTGCTGGAGGAAGATGAGAGTTAGTATATTGTGTTCTTATTACACCATATACAGCTGACGCTTCTCTTTCAATGATGTTAGATCGCCTGCAGTAACCCGAGCTTTACTGCAAGTAGAGCAGGACTGCGTGCAGGCCAGTGCGCATCTTCCACAGATCTGTCATCCATTCGGTGTGTGTGCAGCACTCTTCATGAGTTCTGTCAGTGACCTCTCTCTCCCGAGTCTGAGCTGACAGATACTGCAGGGTTTCAAACTTTTTAATGTGAAGGATCCCAAATATAATGATGCCATGGCGAAGCATCTTCATATCTTTAAGTATAAAGATACACATTTTAAGCGTGATGGTATACTGTAAAGACAACATGTTGTTTCAAAGGTTAACTTACAGTGTTGACTTAAAAAAAAAAAAAAAAAATTATTATTTTTTTTTTTACACAAGATTACAATTATTTTAGTCGTATTTAAACTGAAGATAATTGCTTATTTATTATGGTAAAATCAATAGAATAAAATAATTATTAATTTTAGAAAGCAGAATGAAACAATTCTTTTCAAAATTCATAAAAAAATTATTCATAAGTTAAAGTTACAGCATTAACTTTAACAGACCTAAAATATATTTTATAAAATTCTCTGAATTGTTGACAAACTCCCTACACCCCTTGCAGTTCGCTGGTGTGAGATACTACAGGCCCTGGACTGCATGAAACCTGATCTTTAGGCGTAGCTTGACGTTTGAGTTTGGGGGGGCCAAACCGAACCGGTGGATTTGGTCAGACGTACTTTTAAACACATTTTAGTTTTGCTATAGTAAATCTACATATTCACATTCACATAGAGCAGTGGCAAGTGCGTGAGGTTGTCATGGTAACCACATACAGTGCCCACAAATTACAGCTACGCTTCTATTTTACCACACTAAACTTAGCAATAAACATTTTGATTTATTAATTTACTTACAATAACAATTTAAAATGTATTCACTTTTACGTATTCACTTTTACATGTATTATTAACTGCATTATATGCATTTTTACTTAATAGAAAAAACTTTATAAATAAATATTTAGTAAAATTCTTAAATCACTGGCCCCCCCACAAGCTACGCCCATTAACCCTCATTCTCCTTGATTATGAACAGACATCCATCATGTGACAGTAGGAAGGAAACATGGCCATTTATATAGTGTGAGTTCCAAGCACTGACTCTAGAGGGCTCTGCAGTCAAGCCTTTTCGTCATTGTTGACTGCATTGTTGACATTGCTAATGCGCTGGGAGATGATTCCTGGGCCTTCTGCATTGGCAGGATTTATGGTTTTAGTAGAGCAGGGCTGTTTTTCCCCACGCTGCTTTGTAAAAGCTTTTCTAATGAAAAATGTGGAATTGTATCTAATACAGAAGAATTGTTAAGAGTGAGATTAATTTCATTAGTGTGTGTTATAATGAACAGTGATGTCAGTGCTGGAGTTTAAAGTTTATAATGCTCAGCTGTGTTCACTGCGGCTGTCATCAGTGGCGGATCATGTTATTGAGGGTGCTAGATTTAATCATGATATCATCAAACAAAATCATCTTTGTTCATTTGATTACTTTGGATTGAGAATGATAATTGCACCCACAACTTGTTGTAAAATAACTTATTTTTATGTAGAAAAAGTACATTGGATGTGTGGTTGAAATAATTGACAATTTTCTTCGTCGTTTTTCAATCATAATGATTTTTCATACATGGTTGACAATCCAGTTTTGACTTGGAAATGAACAAATGATCTAGTTATATCAGATTTACAGATATCAGTTAGGATTTAATCATCAGATTAAAAAAAATAAAATAAATTACAGTGAAATATTCAAGTAAATCAAGTTGTCTTATAGGTCATACAACTCAAGCCAGTCTTTGCCAATATAACATAACTGTTATGTAAGGCATTTTTCTTTCTGAAAAACAGATTCACTGTTTTATACGGTTTATAGTGCAATTTGGCTTATGTTTTTAGAAAAAGGCCTCTTTATACAGCTGAGTTAAGGATGCCCTGTGGCTGCTCAAAATTCAGCATAAAGATGCAACGGCACATAAAAGTCAGACTAAATTATGCCTGCTCTGACCCACCTCAGCACCTAGTTTTGGGGGAGGATTATGTGTAGTACTGTCACTTTAAGAGTGAAGTTTTCCAACCCCAGTGGTCATGTGTTCAGGTGTCCAATACAGTAGCATACCAGCCTTTGTACCACACACACACACACACACACACACACACACAGAGACAGAGACAGAGTTAAAATGCTGTGTCAGCCTTATGACAGATACAACGCTGTTTGTGGCCCCCGTCTACTCCCATCCTGCACGCACACAGTCTATGGCCTTGTGTCAAAACTGTTTGGTTGTGATGAGAGCTGGACGTTTGAATATTTGGAGCACCTGAGTGTAAACGGTGGCACTCTTTTGGGGAATTGGTATGTTCATTTAGTTAGCCAAGAAAATTCTTCATGGAAAAAAAAAAGAAACATAGTAGGAACATGGTCTGTGTTTTTGGTTCCAGGACAGCTATCTCATAATTAGAAGAAAGAAGCTGACGTGAATATCGGATGCCTTTGCTTCCTCATTCTGCATCAAGCTGCGGTCTCAAAAAGTTTTTTGTTGTTATGGTGAAGATTGTTTGGACATTTTAATAGCTGCACTTTTATTAACAACCAGGACCCATCTCTGATCATCAGTCCGGTTTAGTTTCTTTGTGTTTGAAGAAAATCTGGATCTGCGCTAAGTGGAACTGGACTTGAAAAGAAACCTGCTATCAGTGCTGTCTGTGTCTCTCTTGTTCACTCTTGCTCTGCCAGGAACCTATTGATTAGACAGAGCAAAACCAACGCTGTTGTAGTCATGTGCGTGCTCACAGAGCTATTTACAGACAGCTGTGAGTCAATGAACGGCAATGAAGTAACTCATTCAATCAGCTTGTGTGTGGGCAAACTAAAAGCTCTTAGCTGTTTGTGATTTAATTGGTGTGCCATTAAGTTACCAGACTGTGGCCTGACAGATCATTTAAAAGTGAGTCATATTTATTGCTTAGAAAGTAGCAACGGTAAGTATAGTTCGAAAAAATGAATTGAAACTTTTTAGTTCCCAAATGAAGCTCTCAGCGTGGTAGGTTTGTTCAGTAGTGCCGTCCATCTCAAAGACCAGCTGTGTTTTTGAGCTTGAAGAAAGAAAGGTACTAAAATGGATACAATATAGAGGATATAGCACAGGAAACAGAAGATGACATGGAAGAAGGGTGGCTATGACCAAGAGACTGAAACCAAACTGATGGGGATGGCTGGAAAAGGGACCAGCGTCAGAGGAAGCAGCTCCGAGGATCTACAGGAAGTTTTCATTGTGCTTGGGACTGATGCTTGAGAAAATCCACTGGGCAATCTATTCTACTGCTCAGTTACACTGTGATCTCTGAACCATCAGCTGTGTTTCCTGCCCATACATCCTCTGAAAGAGAGAGAGGGAAAGACAGAGAGGAAAAATCCATGGTGGAATCCTTATGGAACTATTTGGAATCCAGCGATGAAATGTTTGGAATACTGAGTGCAGTGTTTTGGCAGCCAGCTTTGAGTTAGTCTGGAGTGCATTTAAACTGATTCACATTTTATTATTATTATTATTATTGTTATTCAGTATTTGACTCTTTTTTTTAATGTCGTTGTCACTGAAAGCAGCCCAAATGTAATTTGTCACTTTAATCTGTAAGGTTGTCTAATCAATTTTTTGAGAAAAACTTTGTAGGATCTTTGCAGCATTTGAGAATATTTCCCATGTTTTTGCCAACAAAAGATATTTTGTGTCGTTATTGTTATTTTTAGCATAGAAACACATTATTACCAAATGTTTTTTTGTGTGTTTCTTAAAAAATGTTACAATGAAATGATTGTGTGTGAAGGTGCAGAAAGAGATGTGGACTTTGCTTTTTGATCTGATTTGACTCAAGGTTTAGTTTTTTTTTAAATCCGTGTCATCTTTTGAGGAATTGTGAGCATCACCACAGGATTCTGTTCTGCTTTCCGACCGCTGGCTACAGCAGCTGCAGCTGGCACAATGAAACTTGCATGTGTGAGTGCATTGTTGATAATTTAGTTGCGGTGCTAAAAACTGCTTGAAAAACTGCAGTGACATGCTCTCTGTCTGACTACTGGGACATGGGGCCAATCACAGGGGCTACCATGGAAGTCAGTAGTACATTTGACAACATGACTGGACTGACACATAATAGGCCAGTGCAAACGTCCTCATTCTGCCAGCAGTTTGCATCTGTCGGTATGTTATTTAAATGTGGTATATAAAATCAACCGGCTCAAAAATCGCTGTATCTAAAAGTAAATGCTTAATTTATATTGTAAAATCATTTAATAGTTTTTTTTTCCTTTCTCTACACAGATGGGGCAGGAAATTATGATGTGAATAATGTTGTCATTCCGACCCCAGGAGCACCAGACCCCAGGGCCCAGAATTCTTTGCGGCAGAGTTGGGAAATGAACTACCAGGAAGCAGCAATATACCTGCAGGTCATCTTTTGAACCTCCATACGCTCAATGAAGCAGCAAAATAGATGCAGATGATCTCAAACACCCACTCGGGGTTAATAATAATTCTCTCTTGTCAATTTGTCTGTGTTTGTTCTCAGGAGGGAGAGAATAACGACAAGTTTTTCACTCATCCGCGAAATGCCCATGCGCTCAGTGCCTACCTGTTTGCTCACAATCACCTTTTCTATGTGATGGAGCTGCTGACTGCGGTGTTACTCATGCTTCTGTCCCTCTCAGAGGCCCCTGCCGTCCCCTTTCTCCGCTTGGATGTCTATGTATGTGACTTCTACTTCACTATATGCATACACTATCATTCAAAAGTTTGGGGTTTGTAAGATTTTTTGTTTTTGAAATAGATTCATTCTTTTATTCAGCAAGGATGCTGAACTTTACATTGTTACAAAAAAAAGTCTATTTCAAATAAATGCTTTTCTATTCATCAACGAATCCTTTAAAAAAATATATATCACAGTTTTCACAAAAATATTAATACTTGAGCATTATTCAGCATATTAGAATGATTTCTGAAGGGCCATGTGACATTGAAGACTGGAGTAATGACTGCTGAAAATTCCGCTTTGCCCTCACAGGAATAAATTACATTTGAAATTATATTAAAATAGAAATATGTTTTAAATTGTAATAAAATATCACAATATTTCTGTTTCACAGTATTTTTGATCAAATAAATGCAGCCTTGGAGAGTATAAGAAACTTCTTTCAAAAACATTAAAAAAAAAAACCTTACTGACCCCAAACTTTTGAATGTGTTAATGTGTGTAAGCTTGAGTGTATATGTGTTTGTAATTGTGTTTTTATTTGTATGCTTGTGGCTTATGATTATATGAACATGAGTATGTACTTGTACACAAACACTTAAATGTGTGGGTTTTTTTTTGTTTCTGTCAGGTTCATGCAACACTGGAGTTATTGGTATTGGTAATGGTGGCCTTTGAGTTGTGCATGAAGCTCCGATGGCTTGGCTTTCACACCTTTATACGACATAAGAGGACCATGGTGAAGGTTTGTACATGTTTTGTAATAGACTGCCTGTGTTTGCTTACAATGGTTTATTTTTTTTATCTCTGTATCAGGATGTCATTTTCACAAATGTTCAGCTCAAGAATCCTGTTATCCTCTCTGATTTTTGTGTGTTTCAGACATGTGTCCTGTTTATTCAATTCATCGAGGCAATTGTGGTCTTAGTCCGGCAGACATCTCACCTGCGTGTAACGAGAGCCCTGCGGCCGATCTTTTTGGTGGACTGTCGTTACTGTGGAGCTGTTCGCAGGCATGCTAACATCAAAATATCTTAAAATAATTGTTATTTAATAAAAATGTTATAATTGTTATTGCTACTGCTAACAACATTATTTTGTAATTTAAAAACGAATCTAAATATACTAATCTAAATATTGGTGTTTTTATATTAATGCCGTTTCTGAGATCTTATACATGCATATTGCAGTGATTATACACAAAACTGAGTACTAAAAGTCCTTGTAACGATGGGAAAATTATTGTAAAGCATGTCCTTGACTGGATAAAATGTGATGTTCTGACGAACTATCTCCTCTATCTCCAGAAACCTGAGGCAGATATTTCAGTCACTTCCTCCCTTCATTGATATTCTTCTGCTGCCACACTCACACACACACACACACACAAACTCATAGATTCTTCTCTTTCTCTCTACAGTATTTTAGCACACTGGAGAACAGCCTTGTGAGTTTGTTTGTCCTTCTGACCACTGCAAAGTAAGTATGTACCCTCACTGTGGTGCACACGTCCTACATGACTCTGAGCCTCAGTGGGGTTGTTTCATGTCTTCCTGTAACAGCGGTAGTAATCCAAATGTTTTCAGTTCAAACTTCTTGAGGGGAACTGGAGACTTTCTCTGGTCCTCTATTATCATTATGCCCTTGAGCAAAGAACTTAACCCCAGGTCACTACAGTCAGACTGCCCCTGTTAAAAATGCAATAAAAGTCGGTTTGAATAAGAAAGTGTCTGCTAAATGATTAATAATTAAGTAACCTCAGAGTCTTTAGTAGATTTACACATGTGAGTTTTTTGTCTTTTTTCTTCACTAGTTTTCCGGATGTGATGATGCCAGCATATTCAAAGAATCGTTGGTCATGCATTTTCTTCATTGTGTATCTGTCCATCGAGCTCTACTTCATCATGAATCTGGTCAGTATTGAACAACAATAAATCTATTTGCATTTTAAAGGATTTCTAACACATTATAGTTTAATTTTGTACGCATTATCTGTTGGTGCAGTGTGAACTAGCCTTTACTTTGAGTTTGCTCTTAATCTTTGCTTCACAGCTCCTGGCGGTAGTTTTTGATACTTTTAATGGAGTTGAGAAGATGAAATTCAAATCTCTTCTTCTACACAAGCGATCAGCTGTAGAGCACGCCTTCCAGCTGCTAGTTAGTCGGCAGGTGAGATATATACAGACAGATCACACTTTTCCCCTATCTCCTGATTTTTCAGGTCTGAAGCCTTGTGTATTTTATGGATGAATGTGATAAATCTGCATTTATTTAGAGGCCAGATGGAGTGTGTTTAAAACAGTTTGATGGACTGATGCGATTCTATCGTCCACGAATGAATGCACGGGATCGTTTCCTCACTTTCAAAGCCCTCAACCATTCAGGCGCAACCATGCTGAGGTACACACACGCGCATGAATGTGCTCACGTTCTTTCATTGATTTCAACAGATGATGAGTTCATAAGGTGTATTTGTGGTTGTGTTTTAGTCTCCAGGACTTTTATAAGTTTTATGAAGTGATCGGGCTCAAATGGAAGGTCAGATTCACACACTGTCACATGATTATACTCCCTGGGTGTATGTTAAACCCTCCTGAGCCGGAACATATGGTATGTATGTGTGTTACAGGCTCGACGGAGTGGGGAGTACTGGTTTGATGATCTTCCTCATACTGCATTCCTCATCTTCAAAGGTCTTCAAGGCTTCCATGTCATATTTATTCAATTTGGATTAGTTACAGTTTACATTTTATTTTACAGTTTAATGATCTGCTCACAGATACATTCAAGATTAGTTGAGATCAAATATTTTCTTCCATAATACTTCCTTTGTTTGATCATTATTCTTTTTTAACAGGAATCAATTTACTTGTGAAATCCAAAGCTTTCCAATATGCAATGTGTAAGTTAAATTCTTAAGTAACTTGTTGTATTAACCCTTTAGACATTAACATTTGTAGGTTAATAGAAAAACTTGTATTTTAAAAATTCACATTTTTCTGGTATTTTTCAGTACTCTTATTATATAATGTACCGTAAAATACAGTAAACAGTAATTTTGTGTAAACATTAACTGTTAACATTATTACAAACTACTGTTTTCTATTTGAATACATTTTAAAATGTAATTTATTCCTTATTTTCAGCAGCCATTACCCCAGTCTTCAGTGTCACATGAAGTGACAAAAATCAGTGTAATATGCTGATTTGGTGCTCACGAAAGCATTTCTTGTCTTAATGTCTGAAAACAGTTGTGCTGCTTAAAATTTTTGCGGAGATTGTGATGCGTAATAAGTTACAAAAAATAGCATTTACTTTAAATAGTATTTAGCTTTTACTGTCACTTTTGATCAAATTATTGCTAAATAAAAGTATTAATTTCTTTCAAAAATCTTACTGACCCAAAGGTTTCAAACTAAAGTGTACTGCACTTACAATATATTCATTCCAGTATTTCTAATAATTCTAACAATTTTTCATGATTGACCTGTTACAGATCTGGTAGTTGCAATTAATGGCATCTGGATCCTAGTGGAGACTAACATGTTAATTGGTAAGATCTTCTTTGATTAATGGAACAGTAAGGCATGTGTTGCAGCTGTGTTGAAGTTCCAGATAATTCTTTGAATTCACCATTCAGAAACACTTGTAAATACTGGAAACAGTGAAATAGCTGTTTTCTCTGTGTGAACCCAATTGAATTTGACTCTCAGGGAGCTCTTCTCTTCTCACAGATGGCGTCTCATGGACTCATGTTGTCCCATTGAGTTACATTATTTTTCTCACAAGTAGGTGGAAATTGTTTAAAATTAAATCATTAGTAAAACTGAATGTAAATGACTTAATTAATATTGGTTTCATTTAAATTGTAAACTTTTTTTATTCATCTCCTGCTTATGTGTCTGTGGAATGAAGTTTATGGAATTGAGGTCTTGTTGAAGATCACAGGCCTTGGTCCTTTGACATATTTCAGCTCAGGGTGGAACCTGTAAGTACACACACACACATACATTCATACAAACACACACACACACACACACTGCATCACCTCGGGGTGTGTGTTTCTTTTTCCAGCTTTGATTTCTCAGTAACAGTCTTTGCCTTTCTGGGATTGATTGCTCTGGCATTTGACATGGAGCCGTTCTACTTCATCTTGGTGTTGAGACCTTTTCAGCTCCTCCGGTATGTGTACTAATTTTTGTGCGTGTTTTGATTAATTTTAGTCGCATTGTAGTCATTCATTTAAAACCTTTTTCTTTTTTTCAAAATGATTTTTGTTCTCCCATAAGTCTGAGAATACTACATTATACTGAACATTTATAGATAAAGATTTATTAAAAAACCTAATTCAAACCTGTAAATAAACAGAAATGTTCTAGATGTAACTGTAACTATATATATATATATATATATATATATATATTTATTTATGCTGGTAATGTAATTTGTACATTACATTACAAATCAATCAATTAAAAAAAAAATTTGCAAAATAGAAGCATTTTCACCTGTGATCTCAGACAGTTTTACCCCACTATTGATAACGTCTGCACTGTAATAATTTTTTTAAGCTGCATGTCATTGTCTTTTGTTCTTAATCTTAACTTGGTGTGAATCATTAAATATATTTTTTCAGCAGTCATACTTGTAGATAGAAACAGATATGTTCCTTTTTAACAGTCTCATATATTTTTTTTCCCTATTTATTGTCAAGGTTGTTTAAAATTAAACAGCGCTATCGGAACGTTTTGGACACAATGTTTGAACTGTTCCCGCGTATGGCCAGGTACAGAAATATTAATCCATTTCAGCTCATTACTCACAGATGAAGGCCCTTCTCTCACAGCCCTCTCTCTGTCTCTGTAGTCTAGGTCTTACTCTGATTATCTTCTATTATTCTTTTGCCATCGTTGGAATGGAGTTTTTTGCTGATGTTGTTTATCCGAACTGCTGCAAGTAAGTTCCTTTAATCACCATAAATGGATTTCTTGTTTTATGAAATCAAAACAGACTGAACATCATTTAACACTGTCTACTGTCATTTTCTCACCCTCATGATAATTCAAATGAGTTCTTCCGTGCATGAGAAATTTTGAAGAATGTACA